TCACCGGCCCCGTGCTGCACTCTGAGCCTCTTCTGGGGCAAGCGGGCTGCTGATGAACCGCGCAATTTTGAGCTGTGTTGACTATCGACTTCATCCCAGTGGGTGTGTGGTCTGACGCCACTGGAGCTTGAAAGGTCCACGAGGGGTGTGTGATGAATTGTTTTTCAAAGTCAAACCATTTTTTAGTCTGTGCAGTGCTTGATATGCTTGGGATCACACGGTGTCTGTGAGACTGCAAAGCATGTCTTGCAGGTTAAGTCATCATATCACGGCCGTCCTGTGACAAACGGCAGGGTGCTGAAAGCTGGCATGCGTAATCACGAGTTTGCTCATTCTGTCATCCTTAACTTACAGCAAGTCTTTGAAGCAGTATGTCGTTTGCTAGCCGGCAGCATCTCTGTAGAGTAAAGTTCAAAGCATTTTCGATTCCAATCGGCATGCATCCACGGCAGAAACCTCAAAAGAGTCCAGCAGCTTTTGGTGGCGAGCAAGTCTGCTACAATCACGAGTTCGTGAGGTTTGCTTGCTGGGCTCACGGAGAGGTTGGGTACTGAATGATACTTAAAGCCTGCCTATGTATTGCTCCTAGAAAGTGCCTTGCGAGCAGGCGTGGCTGAGACGGGTCAGCGTGGCTTGGGCTCAGCTGTCGGGCAGAGACACTGCCAAGATCAGTGATGTGCATCTAACAAATCCAAGGCAGGCAGAGGCATTACCCACGCGATTAGGCAAGATCATTGATCCGCTTGAGCATTCTTGGACTTGGTCCCCCAGACATTTGTAGCTCAGACATGCTGCAGAAATGATGTCTGTTGCATGCATCAAGAGCATTCAGCAAGTTTCCCTGAAGACATCACCCTACAAAGCCCAAGAAGGGCGGTAGCATGCAGGGCTGGGTGTGGACTGATTAGACCGCAGATCGTGAGCACATGCCAGCCAATGTAACCTGCAACCACATATCTGTGGTGTTCACAACAACGTCGTTAGGCACAGTTAGGCGTCATGGATGCCTTCGGTTTACCGCCGAACAAGGTGCATGTGATGCTGACAGTGGATAGGTTGAGGATGACCAGTCTCTGTCTTCACAGCCACGGCACATGGCAGAGGCCTTGCGAACGGATGGGGCTTTCCAGAACGGTGGGCCCACTTCTAAGAGAGCTGTCGTCAGCTCGAGGACCCCTGTTGTAGTGCTGCCCGACTGCGTTCACCTACTTTTTAGTGTGAGGTCGTCTGCAGGGGTCCCTCCAGAGCTACAAGCACTGCTGCAGCCACCTGTCGGCAGTGGAGCGGGCGACGACTGGTTGAACTTGAACTTGTTACAATTCTTTTTGGGGGCATGTGACGTGCGAGCTGCTGGTTCAATCGAATCGAAGTTTGACCAACTCCGCGTTCTCAACCCCGCCCTCCACTCTGCCTAAGATCTAAGAAATGCTTGAAACAAATCCTCGCACAGACGCATCGATCCCATTCAGGCGTTCACATTTCCGGCTGCAAAAACACGCCACAGCGTGAGACATATCCCAAGCTGAGGTCGATTTGTCATGGACAAGAACCGAACCCGAAAAAAGTAGATAAAGCCTGGCCACACTGCCTACAGAAGTCTGCCGAGCCAGTTGTCTGAAGCCCAAATTTGGAAACCAGCAGAATGACTGAGGAGCTTGCCTCCAGAAGCACAAGCAGCGGCAGTTGCAGCCGCGCAGGCTTTGGGAATGCGTGGCACTTAAGAGGGATTCTGGCTCGGCGGTTTTGGAGATCCGATTCTAGAAGGCGATAAACCGAAAGGAAGGACCTTGAATTTGCCAGAAGTGGGAATCTCTGTTTGTCAGGATGTTGAGGCGACCGTGTCGGCATGTCCAAGATTAGAAGTGTGAGTCCTTTTTGGGCAGAGGTTTGGCTTTGTTCACGTGATTGCACAGCCTGCTCGGCCCAGTCCAGCTCCTGCAGATGCAGCTCCGGGATCAGGCCAAGTAGAAGGGCGGGGACAGCTGAGGGAGCGCCAGGGCCAGGGCTTGCCTTGGTCTTTGAGCTTTGTCAGTGCTGCCTAGTATACATGGGCATTTGCCGTCGGAGTAGTAAGAGCGAAGGTAACACATCCAACTTTCCAGAATTTGCAGGTGCTCCACAGGTCTAACTTAGTCTTAAATGCTCTGGAAGTCGGGCGGGCCAAGCATCAGCAGCTACGGTTTGTGATTCTTGGTTTGGGCTTCTTCAAAAGACAGTGCCAGCGCTGTCGATTACAGCAATGCCGCATTGAACCAACCTGCAGATCCTGTGATGGCTCTGCCTGCGATGCCCATGTCATCACCCTTCCCGTCAGTGTGAGCTTCTCAGAGACATGGTTGTGGTGTTGGAGAGCTGCGAGATTTTGGCCTTCCAGTGTTTCAAGCCGTGAACCTTCCCAGATAATTTCATCCACTGTAATGAAGATAACCAAAGCTCCAGGCCCGGTCAGGCACCGACACCTCGAGTGATTCCGCAGGGGGCCCTGCACTGTTTCGAGCAAGCCTGAGGGGGGGATGAGGTGCTGAATCCGCGAGGATTGTCACTTCCAGGAATAACCGGTGACCTCCCCCAGCAACCCGAGAATCACAGGGTTTACTGTGAGACGAAACCCAACGCGAACCTATTTACATCGAACCTGCAAGCCCTCGGATCTGAACTTTCCTCACGCTCAATTCAGGGATGCTAAGACTCCTATTTTGAGGTTGTGTGTCACTGCTGCCAGGCTGTTTGTGTTAGTTCCATCTCATGTCTTCATCGCGTGGGCTGTTCTTGTGGCTTGCAGGGGGGTTTGGGCCAAGGCCTCCACAGCGCATGATGCAAATGGCGCCAGGGGCTGAGGTAGAGGCGACTCTTCCAAGCTGCTTTGTTTGGGCGTGTCATCCGATTCGTTGTTCGACATTTTCATGCCGGATCGTAGACTAGACGGACGAAGTCTCCTGCATCCCTCGAGCGGAGAGATAATGGCACGTGCAGGCTTTCAGGAAAGTATCTCTCTAGCCATAGACAATCGTTAAGACACTGTACTCGAGCACCTTGAGGAGGAATGCCTGCACAAACCATCGCTTCCACAAGCTTCAACCCTGCATCAGAGCGGGAGCTTCCTGGAAATGCATGACGATCCCAATGTCCAAGACGCTCGAGATCTCAGGAGTAATGCACCAGAGGCATCACTGCTCCCTCCGGGTCTGCCGGGCACTGAGGGAAGACATGATTGAAAGCCATCAAGCAGAAAGTCGGTTGGAACGGCCCATTGCAAGTAGGAGCGCGAGTACAAAGGAATCTACAGATAGTGACGGAAGAAGCCCGGGAGCTACTTGCGAAGCTCTAGCAGGTCAGATGCTAGGTCACCTTTGTGTACAAGCCGACAGAGATGTCGTACAACGGTTGCCACAGTACCGTGTTTACCTCCTCGCTGTTGCGATGACTGTCCTCTCGCAAGGTCTGAGGTAATCAAGACAAGGAGGGCAGTCAACCGGTCAACGTGAGGAGTGTGTGTTTCGGTGTGCGATAGTGCGAAAGGCTGACTGCCAGGCTGTCGGCGTGTAGGCATCGTGAATGCAGTTGAATGAAAGAAGCTTAAGGTTTTTGATGATTCGGATACACGTTTTCTCAGCAGCAAGTCCACTTCAAGGCTTTGTCCCCGTGGGCTTGTTACACATCGGTAAGGTCCCTATACGACTTCGAGTGTCTCACCTTCGAGCATTACATCAGTGATGCCCGCCTTCAGCCCCTACATCCTGCGCATGATTTGGGATCCAGGATCCAAGCGAGACTCGCAGCCTCCCCTTCGCAAACCTCTAGCCATCACTGCATGTAGCCCGTCAAAGTGTAGGAAAGTTAAGACTCTTGCTGCTGTGCCAGTGCTCCGACGAATCCCACGGCGACCTGAAGAGACATCCAGACATCACAGAAATCTTGTGGAAATTCGACCCGACCTGTTAATTGAGGATGGGCCTGGTGCCGGGAGCACCTCGACCGGCTGCGGAAGCGACGTGGAATCCTGCGGCACAGGCCGGGAGATCTGATGCCTGAGGGGGGTCTATGCTGCTTGGCTCTTGAAGTGACGACGGCTCGACAGCCCCTCGCAACATGAACGGCGGACTTCAGGGACTAGGCAGGAACCAGCTTGTCTCATGTCTCATTCGGCTGTCGTCACAGCACAGGTTCTTTGCTGTTCTAACCGTGACCCGTAAGCCTCGCTTCTGTCAAGCAGGGGAAGGGCGCCGGCGCCTGGGGTGGCAAAGGCGGCTGGATGCCCCCAGGGACGCAGGCTCGCTGCCGTCGCCTGCACTCACTGCAGGATGTGTTGGAATCGAAGTGCCCACCGCGAAATCGAGTTAATTTGCACTCGGGCGAAATCTGTATCCAAAGCAAGTGTGCTCTGAGTCATTCTGTCTAGAGGCAGTAGAAGTGGAAAGTTGTATAGGGGTCAAGAAGACGTGGAGGGCAGACGAGGTTCGGGAGGACCAAAAACGAGTAGGAGTCACGAAAACCATTTGGCTCAGCTTTGACTCGGTGTTTTCAAGGTTTGTGTATTGAGGTTTGGGTTCTGGTTTTGCGCCTCCTGGTTTTTGGCAGGGTCTTCAGCTCCGCGCCCCGAGCTCTGGGGTACCTCCAAGGGTCATACCCGCCAGAAGCGATGTGTCCGAGCCCTGGGTGGCTTGAGAGCGCTTGTGAGTGATTTTTATCATGTCCTTGTGGGCTTTGAACAGGAGCACCGGAGGATAAAGCTTGAGCGTTTATTAGAGAAGTAAGATCGAACTGCTGGTTGCTCCTGTTCGGCTCCGGCTTCCGGATCTTGATAATACTTCCGTCTCGAAGTTTCGTAGCGGGAAGCTTGGGTACGGTTCTTTCCCAGTGCATGCGGCCCACTTGTATGCGTCCGTCGTGTAGCGCCATTTCGGGAGTTCCGGAATCCTGGCTAAGTAAGTCGTCAGCATGTCAGGTTTTCTTACAGCTGTGAAGTAGCAACGAGCATTTATGAACGCGGTGCTCAAGTCATGAACTGGGTGCCCCAGGTAGTTTCGTTCATTGCCTCGGGTTCTGCGGTTAACTGGTGGGGTTTAGGTTGTCCGGCACACTGCAGCGGCAGCATCACTGTGCTCCTGCTGACTGGGCTTGCCGGCTTCTCCTCAGGGGCCCTCCTGGTCCTTTACCTCTTCCGCGAGGCAATCTTCCTTCGACCTCCTGGGCTACTTGCCCCTGGGCCTGAGGCTCCTCGACCGGCTGCTCTCAGGCTCAGGCCTTACTTGTATGGGCGACCAGCCCACCTCGACTGAGGACCTTGCTTCTGCGATCAGGGGCCTCACTCAGGCCATCTCAATCTCTGCTCTCTCCTTGCAGTCCCGTGCAGAGGAGGGTTGGGAACTCGTCTCGGAGCCTCTAGGACCCTAAGTTCTCTGCCCCGGCCTCTGGGCCCGCCTGCTCCACCGCCTGTGTCTTCCCAGCCTTTGTTCTTTGTGCGCAGCCTACGCCAGGCTGACCTCGGGCCACCCGTGCTTGGGAAGCTGGCTTTTACGCCGGCCTTGTGCTGCAAGACCACCTGGGCGCTGTGCCTCCTACACCTACTATATCTGTTCGGTCCAACGTGTACATCCTCCTCCGATCGCCTTCCGGTGCTGCTCCTGCTGCCTTCCGGTCTTTCCGGTCCTTCTCAACAGCCACTGGCCGCATCGCAGGCCCTGTCTTTGTGTGCCACGGCTTTCCCACTGAGGGGGAGGCGCGAGTATACTGCTTGGGCGCCGGCGTGCCTTTCCCAGCCTGGGCATAATGGATATAGTCTCGGAGTTCCTCGAGGACCCCTATGGTTTAGGAGTGCTGGTTTTTACCTGGCCCCCGCAAGCCCCTCAGCAAAGCTTCATCTGCATACCTGTGTTGTCACACCCAGGCGGCGTTTTGCTGGCGCTGCCAGAGGAGCTGGTCTGCGGTGCCGAAGGAGACGCAGAGAGGGTGGTTGGCCCGCATCATGTGTTTGCAGTGCCCGCCCTTGCCGAGCAGGAAGACGGCTCCCTTGCCCCCAACCGGGAATTATGTCTCAGTGCTCGTGGTCGACTTCTCTGCCGATGCGCTGCCCCTTTTGAGACGAGCAGATCCTGTGACGGATGGGGTCGAGAGCCAGGGCTTTGCCCCAGAAGGGGGAATCTTCCCCGACTATCCCGGTCTCCTTGCCGAAGTGCGGGGCCGGGTGCAAGACGAGGTGGGCGCCCCTCGGGAGAGGCTCGCTTTTTACTCTGCAACAAATGCCCAGCTTCAGGACCAGATCGAGTTGCTCACGGCCCTGCTGCCGAAACTCACGGACCAGGTTGCAGGCATCGCCGCCCGTCAGGCCACCTTGGAAGACCGGATGTCAGCGAAGCCTGCTACTCCAGCTGCTGCTCCAAAGCCCCATCAAGCCCGCTTTCTGGTCGGCCAGCCGAAGACTGCAATGCCGGCGGACATGACAAGGGCCCTCACCGGCTTGATCGGCCCCCCGCCTCGACTTCGGGATCCTGCCCCTCCGGCCGTGGAAGAGCAAGAGCCAGGAGCCGGCATCTGACGCAGGGGAGGAGGAGGAGGACCTGCTTCTGTGACAGCCGCGATGTTGGAGCAAAGCCGTGCCCTCTCCCAGCTAGTGAGCCACCTCGTCAACGCCGATGGCCTGTCAGACGCAGCAGCTCTGGGATCAACTCCGGGGCTCGGGCTGGGTATGCGTGGCGCTGCAAAAAGAGAGCGGCTGCAGCAAGAGTTGGCAACGCGAAGCGGGACGTTCCTGCTACAAGTGGCACAGCAAGCCTGCAGGAGGCTGTCTCCCACGCAGCCCGTGCCGCAGAGCCTGAGCGAGGCCGCCATCGCACAGCCGAGCGCACAGGCGGCTATGGATCGCACCGCGACACAGGCCTGATCATGTGGATCATGGCAAACCTCTCGAATGCCCTCCTTGCAGAGGACGTGAAAGCGGCCTCCGACATCGCCGCGCTATGCATGGTGTGCCTCGAGCAATCTGTGCTCGACGGCGGCCGCTGGGACGTAGCATACATGCTCTCCCTGCTCGATCCTTGCACACCGCCCTGCATCTCAAAACCCTCGCCTACGAGCGTTCGGTGCTTTGTGTTTTTCAGGGATGGGCGACAGCCCCGAGGCCGGCCCCGAAGGGTTCCGACCCCGATGCAGGCCAGACGCCGAAGCCAGGGGAAAAGGCGATTCCCTCGAAAGCCGAAGGAGGCCCCTTGCCTGACCTCCTCTCCTGACTGCTCCGTTCCTGGGGCGCCCTGTCATGAATCAATTGCTGCATGCGTGGCGAAGGAGGTTAAAGAAGCCAATGTGCCTTCTGCCTTTCCTGATCCCGGGCCTCGGCCCGAAGAACCTCCTGACCCTTCTTTTGTGACTTTCCGGGCCTGGGCCATGAGCCTCGTCCCCCGTATTTTGCGGATTCGGGCGCCCTTTGCTGCCGCCCTTCTGCTTACTTTGCACATCTCCTGGAGCAAGCCTGCTTCAGCACACGCTTTGTTCCCGCTACCTGTGCCTTTCCCTGGCATTTTTAAACATGTGCCATGCGCCCTCCGGGCGCACGAGGGGTGTGATTTCTCGCAGGCGGGTGGTACACGTCATAGTTGTAGCCCTCAACTATACCTTCACTCCGGACGTGCCCCCACCCCTACGCACCTGCTGCGGAGACGGCCCAACACTGCACAGCGCCAAGCCTTCCTCCAGATTGAGTCGTTTGTTCAAGCGTGCGGTGGCGTGCCGGCCACCGGTCACAGGAATTGAATGCATGCCTCGAGCGGTTGTGCTCTGCACTTTGTGTCCAAGGCCCTTCCGCCCACCCCTACGGGGCCACCTTCCCGGGTCTCAAGACGAAGGCGCCCGAGGCCTCTCCGGAACTTTGCCAGCGCCCGCTGACCAGACTCCTGATGGCAATGCTCCGGTGCCCCCTGCTCCAGGTGAGGATGCTGACCCTCCGGCTTTCTCTCCCTACCCGCTTGATGCATCGCGGCTTAAGCTTTCAAGAAAAAAGGGACGTGGGATCCCATCGACTGCCTTCCTGCAAGGACTTTTACCATCAGTTTTGGTGTTCGCGTCCCAAGGCAAGGGCCAACATGCTTTACCCCCCGGTGCCTCTTGGACTTCTGCAGGGCACCGCGCTGCGAACCCCAGGCCCCAGCCGAGCTGGCCTTTCAGGATCCCGTCGACTACCTTCTATCCTGGCCGCCCCTCCTTCTCAGGCCATCTCAGGCCTTCGTGTGCAGTGTGATTCAAGGCGACCACAACTGCGGCTCACAGGGAATACCTGCGCCAAGCTCAGTGCCTTTCTGCTTCCTCCGAGCTGCGGGCCGACCAGCCTTTCCCCTGCTCTAGCCACGTCTCTGATCTTTTCACGGTGTCGGTGCAAAGCGCAAGTTGCCCCGCGGACTCCACCATTGCCGCCCAGGTCCACGACAGAGCCCTTGAGGCCTATGCCAGGGAGGGGCTTGATGAGGGCTCACCCGGGAAGGATGTGAGGGCTTGAGGTGTGGGCAAGGTCGCAGGTTGTGAGATCGACTCCTCTGAAGGCTCGAGGGACTGGGGCCGGGTCCTTGCCCGGGCGGGGCCATCGTCTCGACGCCATGCAGGCCACAGCTGTGCCGGGACATCTGGCTGGCCTCTGACAAGAAAAGGGTGAGAGCCGTCATGGACTTGGTCCCCTCCCGGACCACCGCCTGCCGCAGCAGCCTGATCTTATCGACTGGGGCTCGCCTGGCCACTGGCCCCCTTGGGCCTTCTCGGCCTGGCAGGAGGCTTTTTTCTGCTGAAGTCGGGGCCGCTTTTGCACGGTTTGACGGCACACCAGGACCTGTGCTCAACCTCGGTGGCCACGGGCAGGAGCGGAGAGCCAGTGACCTGGCTTTTCAGTGGGCTCTCTACCTTCTTGAGTCCGGCAGAGTGGGCTCCCTCTTTGCTTTTCCTTCTTCGGCCTCTTTCTCTTTAAGCCGAAAAAACCTCCGCTGCGATCGTGGCGTCTGCCTTTCGGCGTTGGCAAGGTTTGCGAGCAAACTTCAGCCCAGACCAGGGGGCTACTTCGGTGCATTGCCTGTGCTTCTGCGGGTATCCCGGCCGGCTTCCTGCACCCTGAAGCAAGCTCTGCCACTGCTCTGCCCTCGTGGCGAGGCCTCCTCAACCACGATCACGTGCAGCACTGCACCCTCCTGACTCAGGACTTTGGTGCCCGGGCTCCTCGAGCCCTCTGAATCCACGCCCTGCCTCTGACCTTGCTGGTGCCACTGTCGAAGGTCTCGCCCGTGCCCTCAAGCTAGCTCTCACGCGTCGCAGCAAGCTCTTGAAGCACCTTGACCTCTCCACCTCTGGACTTGAGAGCCCCTGGCTGAACGACTTCGTGATCACCTCAAGGTGGGCAACCGAGGCCGCGTGGACCTGGCCACGCCCTGTGCAAATTAACATATTGAAGCTCTCGACTTTCTCCCGCCTCCTGAAAAGGTTAGCCCTTCAGGCCGGCAACGCACGTTTCGTTTCCCTGATTGATTCCGATGTTGGCCGGTGCTCCGCTGCCAAAGGAAGGAGCAGCTCCAGGGCTCGTGCTCAGGCCCTCGACCGCATAGCTGCAACGGCCACTGCCTTCGGCCTCTATGCTGCGCTGCCTTTCTGCCCTACTCGGCTTATGCCTGCAGGAGGCAGCGAGCCTGACCCTCCTGGCCCTGGACTTGGGGCGCAGTCTCTTCCGGCGCCAGCGCCGCTGGGTCGCCAACTGGTCTCGACTTATCCTGCTCCTCGGGTTCCGCCCGTTCTTTCTTGGTGACTCCTCCGTGCGTTATTCCTCTTGGTCGTTCAGGCTCTTTGCCTGTCCTCCGTTGGACTTTGACAGCACTCTGGGCTTCCCCGGTGAAGGGCCTGCCAGGCCTCAGCTCGCAGCTGCCGTTGTGTGCCTCATCTGGTTTAGTAGTCTAGGAGGTTTCCGCAGCCCCTTTTGCCATGGCATGCCTCTGCAAGGAACTGCCATCGCCAGACCAGGCGAGAAGGCACCGAACTGGAGCAAGAGCGCCACGTTGAGGCCTCGAGCAAGGCGCTGCGTCAGCGCTTGTGGGCCGACTTTGAGCACTGGCTCGCTCTAAAGGGCGTGGGCACTGAGCTCTTCGACCCCGAGGCCCCCTTCGAGATCGACAACATTAATGCTATCATGTCGCGCTACGGGCGCGAGCTGTATGCTGCTGGGAGGCCGTACGGCCATTTCTCCGAGACTGTAAATGCGCTGTCGGCCCGGATCCCAAAGGCGAGACGCTTGCTCCAACCTACAGGGGACGTCGCTTTTAACTGGATGAAGCGCGAGCCTCATGTTCACCACCATGCGCTTCCATGGCAAGTCCTCTTGGCTATGATTTCTGTCTGCTGCCTTTGGGGCTGGCCAAGAGTAGCGGGGCTACTTGCCCTGTCTTGGGGCGGCCTGGCCCGTATAGGCGAGGTGATGGCAGCGCGACGCCGCGACCTCGTCCTCCCGTCGGACCTCGACGGAACAGTGAGCTACGCGCTTCTTTCTATAAAGGAGCCAAAGACGAGGAACCGAGCAGCGAGACATCAGGCTCTGAAACTGGACCAGCCTGATCTTTTGGATGTTGTCATTTTCGCTTTTGGTGAACTGCCACCTGCAGCCCCACTGTGGCCAATGTCTGGACAAACTCTTCGGAACCGTTTTAAGCTGCTGCTGGATCGCCTGGGCCTCTCCAGGTCCTCTTCTGCGAAGCAGCTCGACTTAGCGAGCTTATGTGCTGGAGGAGCAACTTGGCTTATGCACACGACCGAAGACGCTGAACTTGTTCGCAGACAGGGCCGGTGGTTAAACCATCGCATAATGGAAATCTACATCCAAGAGGTCACGGCCGTCCTGTTCATGCCGACGCTCAGCCAGGACATACGAAACGGCATTTTCGCCCTGATGCACTCCTACCCCGACATCTTCCGAACGACGCTGCGGCTCAAGGCCGCCGGAGTGCATCCGAGGTTGTGGTACATTTGTTTCCACCGTGGCCTCGGCAATCGCCCGCTGTGATTGGGAAAGGTGGGTGTAGGCAGAAACCGCTGCTAAGAGCAGCGAGCTCTCATGCACTCGGCTTGCAGCGATGTGCAAAAGGAGCAGTTCTTGTGCGAGTTGCTGTGTCAGGATGCTTGAGGGGCTTACTGGCTGAAGCGGATATGCCAAAGATTGAACCAAATCTGCGACAGGTTGTCATCACTGTGCGACCGCTCCGGTACAGAAGCTCTCCTTGCCGGAAGACGTTTTCGCAGGAACAGGTGCTGCAGCCATTGCGGCTTTATCTGAGAACTGTCTCCTTGCAACAGCAGTGCCCTGACTTACCCCGACTCGCTCAAAACGACACAAGAAGAGAGGAGGAGATAACCGCCATGCTGGCCACGCCCATGACCTCGCCGGCCGCAACTCCGGTTGGCCCTGGTGGAGGCTACAGGGAGAAAGACGAGGCGTGTCGTCAGCTAAGTTCGCCAAGCATGCTTAGACAGTCGTCCAGCAATGCCGGGCATCTACTACCCAGCCCTTTAGATGTCAGTAAAGCATGGCGACATGATGCCCCTCTCGACCTAGGGGCAACGCTCGCATCCAATGTGTCAAATCCGCAAAGCTCACATCGATTTTGTCACAGTCTCGGTTCGACTGGAGTCCAAATCCAAACCAGTGTTTCAGGAGCCCTCGGGCTGAGCGGTCTCATGCCCACAATTGTGATCTCGAGAATTTGTTGTTCCGGATTCTCGCAGGTGTTGTTGGGCAGGGTACCGCCAATGCAGAAGGACGGTGCTTGCGATCTGTAGTAGGGATCCATACCGGGCTTGAGTGTTGACGTTGGGATGTCGAGAGGATCTGGTGACTTGAACTGGAGATTCTGTTGAAGTATGGAAGACACTCGGCTCCCCGAGCATCTACAGCCTCCAAGCATTTTAACAACTTAATGCCACAAGGCGAGCACATGAGCTGGTTGGTATCTGGTCCAGGTGCTGCTTCACCGGTTGTTTGGTGCTCGGATGCGCGGAAAATACAGTTCTGGACGACACCAGATGAGCTCAGAGCAAAATCACAGGCGTTCTAGAAGAAGGGTCAATTCAAGGAGCAGGGCAAGGAAGAAATCAGGACCCAAGCCCCAATCCTGGACATGCGCAGGATCCGAAGAGTCTTGAATCTTGATCCTAGCTGCGCGAACGCTAAAGGAATAGGAATCCACTCTGAAGGAGCTGGCGATTCGGTCAAAGGTCTTGGTGGATCTGGCCGCTCCTCGGCTGAATTCGTAGCGAGGCGGGTTCCCTTTTGTTTCTGGGAGCCGGAGAGCCTCCGATGGCTCAAAGGTCCAGAAAGTTTTGACGGAGTCTGTATGCAGCCGTCCCTGAACTGAAGCTTGATCCAGTGATCCACGATCTCGGCAGCTACTGGTTCTACTGCCATAGTTTCCATGCCTTGCATCATCTCAAGAACTGAACCTGACCCCAAGGAGGAGCCGCACGAGGGCCACAGGTTCGTCTTCCCACTGCCCGGGCCTCTCACTGGCGTAGCGACACGGGGCAAGGCGACTCCCGTCATCGTACAGTCCGACTGGCACACGAGTTGAGGGATGCAAGGTTCGAGGCCTTGTTTCGTCACTGCATTCGTCAGCCATGCCCTACGCTCATGTTGGACATAGCATTGTTGTTCCATGTCACATATGTGGCGGCCATGGGCATGTACTTGGGTTTGCTTTCGCTTAGCTCAAAGCAGTGCCGAGCAAAAAAAGAGGAAACCGCTATAACGGTAAAGAGCTCAATCTTCTTTTGGAGGCAATCCTGAAGATGTGCGGCGTGACCTACCAGTGCCTCGCTGTTGAAATGGCGATAATGTGCCGGGGATCCAGGGCAGTGTGTCAATCATCCCAAGCTGCATTCTCGAAGCAAGTGCATTCCGTAGGTATGAGTCTAACTCTAACTCTTCAAACATTGATTGCATTGAAGTCGTGTAGCAGGGGCACTAATCGCGTAAATGCAGATGCTCAGGTTTCACATGCTCATCCATTTCGTGTTCAGTGCTGTGGAGTTTGAGGTTTAGGGTTTACGCTGTTGTCAATGCCCGGCCGTTGGGCCGCTTGCAAACTCACCGGCCGTCCACACTTTGGTCTGTTCGTTTTGTGCTATGCTCGCAAGTTGAAGGACATGTGGGAATAGCCCACCCTTTATCGGGAGTGCGAGGCGAGAGGCAAAGAGGTGACGGCCTGCACAGTCCAAAAATGTTGGCCTTATTGACTGCAAGTCTCCAAGTCCCTTACTCCATGTGAAAGGCACGAGCAAAAACTCAACACCTTCGGTGGTAATTAGCCACAAGTGTACTCCCAGGGCCTCCAAGGCCTGTTGGCTCCCCTTGCTCAGACCTTAGACTTCTGGCACAGCAGGAGTTACTAAGTCACGGTGCGGCAAAACCTTCCAGCCTGTGCCATGCAGCCTCTCAAGAGCTCCGGCCAAGTGTTGGGCCGGAGATTCTGCAGGTTTGGGGTCTGAGTGCCGGTGTCTGAGTGTCTTGGCACCTGAGCGTCTGAGCATTGTTTTGTATCTATTTGTTGTCAGTTCGCGTCGCCATTGCAGGCTCTACCAAAAGTCCAAAGCCCAACGAAGCCACAAGCTGTTTTCTGAAACGGTCCTGTATCTGGCTCTAGTTTTTTATCCCTTCCGAAGGTATCCGGAGCAGCCTACTCCCGCAGTGCGCAACGCGGAGCTCAGTGTGTCCCAGGCGTCGGGGTTCAAGCGATGCTAGATAGAGACATGGCTGTGCAAATCTTATGCGGAGCTGCACTCTGGAGGTCTCGTTGCAATGACACTATGAAATCTCGCTCACCACATTCTGACTCCTCGGCAGTCTCATGACTCATGCTAACTGCTCGCTACACGTAGTTGACATCCTGCGCAGGCGAGCCGTGTGGCGCTCATGGGCCCGATGGGTTCCGGACGTTCTACACTGCTGCAGGTGGCGTTCGACGGCATTCTTGATTTCAGGGGTTTCAATGTAGTTGAGTTGAAGACATAAAGCGTTCATCGCGTCTTTCGACTTTTCTCCTCGCAAGGTGCTCAGCGGACGGCTGCTGCCGACACAGGGTGCAGTGCAGCGCGTGCTGGGAGCAAGCTCTTGGCTGAGAGTTGGGTCGAGCACAAACTCCTTGTGTATGCGTGCTTGAAGTTCTACTGTGACTCTGAGCTCTCTGATGCATGGCGAGGGGCGAATCTGAAGAACTCACTCTGCTTGCGGCTTTAGCGCAGAGATGAATCACACCGAACGAGGATGCTGACTTGCACTTGAAGCCCAGTTGGCCCAGGAGTAGCGTACGTGTGCAAGCACTCGCTGCAACGCTTCGGGCAGTTCAAGGATCGAGAAGGGCTCGCAAAGGGATTCTCACCAAATCCATACCCAACTTCTTGCTGACATTGCAAGGGCCCTTCTGGAAGATTCTATGGACCCGAAGTGCTTGACGAAGCCTCAACACCTGAATTAGCCGCACATCCTTCGAAACATCTGTTTTGAATAGACAGGTTCAATTTCGAGCACCTTTCCTTGCAGGATGCGACGGCACTGCAGTACATGTTCTGGCGGTTCGCCGATCACCGATTCCCATCTGCAGCCATGGGTTTACAATTTACGATATTCGTTTTATTTCTGCATTGTACGATAACCACTTTAGAGCCTTGATTCGAACGGTCTTCTTGAGTTTTGGACACTGTCAAGCTTTAGGGTCTAGCGCTGGGGACTGAACAGCTCCGGTTGAGGTTGCGGGCTGTGTGAGTGGCTCAGTGTTGCTGTTTGGGTTTTTGCTTTGCCAGCCGAGTTGCTTGCCTCGAAAGCAGTCGAACAGAAGAGCAAGGCCCCGCGAAGACCACCGAATGCCCGTTCACGTGTCGCAAGCCGCCAAGGAGACAAAGAGTCCTTGGCCGTATCCTCTGCTGTACTTACGGCAGAGGATCGTGCCCGGCGGAGCCTTGGCCTGACAAGGCGTGGCCTCACCAGGCCTCGACTTCTGAACTCCTTGACCTACCCTATCTAACTCTAGTGACTCCAGTGCGCTTCTGAATTCTTTCTTATTCCTATCATAATAAAACTCCAAAGGGTATCAGAAATACTCTTTACATTTTGGTTCTGAGGGTGCACAAGTCTCACGCTCAGTTGCAACATCGAGACAACCATGTAGACCATGAACTTTGGCATTTCGCACCGACAACTACTGGTACCAGGAGGCCTTGTGTAGAGTTAGGCAACTGTTTGGTGTCGCTTGTCTGCAGTCTCATCGATTGCATTCTTAGACTCCGGGACGAATACTAACTTTCGCCCTCGTTGAACTGTACATAAAGTCGGAGACAGCCCGAAACCCACACCGAACCCTCAAATCTTGATAGGTGTCAAGATGCCACCCCCAAACTTTCCGTCCTGATCCCTTCAAAAGGGCTTTGAGCTCTTCTCGCCCGAGGATGCAGCGCTGGCACCTGGACAGGGCCACAGGTCTCCCGCAGCTCGGCGCCGGGCCTGAGGCAGGTGAAAGCGAGTCAAGCCAGCCCAGAAGCTTTCGCCTGCCGATTCGATGGCCCGTTTCCGGCAGTTGAAATGCGAGTGTCCCGAGTAGCTTGAAGTTCGAGCGAAGGGCTCCGATGACATTCAGCTGGTGCCCGAAGCCGCCTGCGATCGCCGCGATGCGGCTGGGGCTCTCGAGCTGCTTGTGCTGCAGTGGCTTTCAAGGTCTGTGAGAGCATTTCCGGTGTACGAGCTCTGGCGGCAAGACTGGGCTCGAATCCTATTTTCGGGTTTGAATTTTCACAACGTGATTCGAATCGTTGTTGAGCGACCCGGAGCACAGTGTTTCGGGTTCCTGGAGGTTTAAGTCTTGGGTTCATAGGTGATCCTTGTGTTTGGCCGGGAAGCTTGGCAAGTACTCTCAAGAAAATGTACACCCCCAATTTGAACCACCGTTGCTTCAGGATTCCATACGCGAAGTTCAAGCTCTTGGCATCCAAGAAGGGTTCAGGGCTGTAGTTCCGGGTTCAGAGCTTGGGATTGAGGCAACCGCACGAAGCAGAAGCAGACATCCATATCCAAATAGCGCAAAACCCAATGATCCAATGCCTCTCAGGTATCAGGTCAAGTGGGTGCAGCAGGAGCTGAAGACCTGGGTCAAGAAGGAGCTTCTCATCGAAATGGGCCGCTTTGGCGGCGCTGGGGGTTGACGGCTTGCAGAAAGAAGGGGTCCTGCTACGAGAGACAGAGTTGGTTTTGTTTTGGGAATCTTCTCGCTGTCTAAGAAGCCAAGCACATCAATATCAGCGCAAGCCATGAAGCCAAACCATCTAAGGGAAGCAAGCAGCGCGACAAGAAAAAGCCAGCACGCAAAGCAAGACCGCCCTGAAGATCTTGCAGCCAGCTACCGCCTGTAGACTCGGTCTGGGTTTGGGCAAGCACCTCGACATGAAAATTATACGAAGCCAAGGCGTCAATCCGTCCAAATGTTTTGGGGATGGTTGGGAAGTTGGTAGCATAGATCAACATACAGCAAGGCTTCAACTCCCTCGAATGGCCTAATCCCTGCACGAATTCCGAAGTCCCGTGCGTGATGCTGTTGCGTTTCAAGGAATATGCTTACACGTAGCTGGTGCACGGTGCGAGGCTACCGAAGCCTGGTCCAGCTGGAGGATGACTGGCAAGCCTCGTCTGCTTTAGCAGTCAAGGAGCTTTCCTTTGGTGTTACTGAGCAGTTAAGCAGAACAGCAAGAAACCAGCATCACTATGAACTGCTACAGTGCCCACTACTCTTTCTTCAGTCTTGTGTTGTTTCTTGTCTCCTCCTCGTCCCCCTCCTCCACCTCCTGCCAACTACCCAGCCCACGTACCACCACTGCCATTACCACTATCACTACCGCTCCTGCTGGTACTACGACAACGACTGCTGCTACTGTTTCTGCTCCTCCTCCGCCTCCGCCTCCACCTCCTCCTCGTACTATTGCTACGACTAAGACGACGACTACTACTGCTCCTACTGCTCCTACTGCTCCTACTGCTCCTACTGCTCCTACTGCTCCTACTGCTCCCACTGCTCCTACTGCCTACTCCTACTCCTACTCCTCCTACCCCTACTGCTACTCCTACTCCTACTCCGACTCCGACTCCTACTCCTCCTCCTACTCCTACTCCTACTCCTACCTTTACTCCTACTCCTAGTCCTACTCCTACCCCCATTCCTACTGCCACTCCTACTCCGACTCCGACTCCTACTCCTCCTCCTTGTCCAACTACTCCGACTCCTACTCCTAAACCACCTACTCCTACTCCTATTCCTACTCCTACTCCTCCTACCCCTACTGCTACTGCTACTCCTACTCCTACTCCTACTCCTACTAAGCATCTCGGCTTGCAGAGGTGCCCACCCAGCTAGGATTCGGAGCTGAGAACCTCCGTGCTCCAGGAAAAACCACGAATTTCCGGAGGGTTCTCCATGGCCGTCAGCTGGCTTTTCATACTATTCACATGTGTGACTGGCTTGAAGAAGGTCGCCGACAGCTTGAGCACAACCGCAGTGAACAATGGTTTCCCAGCACCAACAAGATTGGCATTGACCCTTCCAGGGAATATGTGCGGCATCTGTACGGGAAACCTACCCATCGAGGACACTTTCTGCGGGAATTGGAAGGCTGCATGCTGTTGCGATCCAGTGGATATGTTCATAACCTGCAGTTCTTCAATGAGTGGTCGCAGCAATGGAACGATAAGACACACCCGGGAAGGGCGCTTCAAGCGGCGAGAGCTTCTCCATTCCCTCCTGACGAAAGGGCCTTGTGGCAATGGTGCAGCCATTATCCAGACTGGCTGAATTCTGGCCACAGGGCCGCCACCTGCTGCACAGAGCTCTGCTCTACGCTTGGAAGAAATGGAGCACCCGACGACCAGGACTGCCTTGCCCACAAAGTTCTGCATAAAGCTGGTAGATGGTGGCGGTGCCGACGCAGTCTTCTCAGGCGGCGCCCACGTCGGATATGCCGAGCTAGGTTGCGAATCACATTGCTTCAGCATGTCTTCAGGATGAACACGATTCGGCCCTGGATACCGATCTTCTTGAAGGGGTGCCCCTTCCTGTCTTGCGCGGGCTGCAGACGAGTGTGTATTCCATTTGTGCTGAGACTCCTGCACATGCTGCTTCCCTTCCCAGCGGCTCAAACCACGTGTTCGAACAGAGCGCCCGGTGAACACATGAGCGAGGCACCCCCGCCAGAGATGGACAGCGGGTCGGACTCACCGGCTGCAATGCTGCCGGGCCAGCGGAATGGACCATCGCCGCCTATGAGTGTGCAGGAGCGCCGTCTTGCCAACTTTGTGGCCAGAGAGCTTGAGTACTATGGTCCGGTGTCTGTTGACCTGCAGCTTGGAGTGCGGCAGTCGGATGGGATCAAAGTGATACTTCGTCACATGACTCGGGAAGAGGTTCAGCAGCAACGCAAAGAGCTCTACTGCGCTTGTGAGGAACCAGCGGCGCCTCATCCGAAGGCGGCCGCCTCACGCTCAGACGCTACTTCTGCATCGGCCATGGACCGTGCACTCCGAGCTGCCACGGACTTCGTGAGATCCAGGCGCGCTAATACGAGGCCTCCTTCTACCATGTCAGAGCCACCGGCTACGGACGATGATGCCACCATTGCGACCGACATCTCTGCTGCTATGGATACAGAAGGTCGCACCAGGATGACCCCGGGAGACGCTGATCGCCTTGCTGAGGCCATGAACCTTGATGACCTCACCGACGGTGACCTTGAGCCGGGCCTTAGCACCCTCGTCGTGGACCGTACCGGCTCTACAGCATCACACGGAGCTTCTGGAAGCGCGACCCCCAAGCCGAAGATGAATCGGAAGAGCCTCCTCTTGCAATGGTCTCTTTTCCTTTGCGGGGTGTGGGGTTGCGGCACCTTTCGGTTGATTCTGTCTTCGTGCTTCCTGCTTCCTTCAGGAGACGTGCTGAGACTAGTGAGTAGAAGTGCTAGAGTCGGCTGCACTGATCACGCCACTCGGGCGGTAGACGGGAACGGTTCAGATCCCGGCGGCCTCACGAGATGGCCGTGCTAGAGCGATCTTGGATCTGGCGCGAACACGGGGAAAAGTTGCCAATGCACTCTCTCGTGATGTTTGCCTATCTCCTGCTCTATATCTGCACCTTGCATATGACTCGGGCTGGCCAGGTACTCTTCTTCAACATTCCTGCGATTGATGGCGGGCACCCCAATATCAATGTTCTCTTGCTCCAGCCGTATTCCATCGCATCAGTCACACCAACACCTAAGGAGGACCAGCGACCGAGGAGGGCGAGCCCGGTATGTGAACCTCTCAGACAACACAGCCGGTGAGTGCTCGTCTATAATCCGTCCCAACGCAGGTCATGGGTGCTCCTCGCTTGCAAGCTGGGCCGGTCCCAATTCCGGCCGTGTCCACAGGCCTATCAGTTTGAAATTCATGTTGGTTCTGGTACTCTGCAATTTCATCTGCAAGTCGGGAGCCACTGTGGACACAGATGTGAGGGTTGACACCTCCACCGTCGCGGTGTCTGGAACTGCTGCTTCGGCGACAGTGAAGCCAGACGGTTTTCGGAGGGCATTGCAGCCCGACCCTTATGAACATCTCTCGAGAAGCGGTAAACGCACCTATGCTCGTGCATATGCACGAGCTTGCAGAACAGGTGGCTCATCTTACCGGGGCACATGGAGACCTCTCTCCTGGTTTACCCCTCGAGACATCAGGCATCAGAATATCGGTCGTCATGTGCAACCTCTGCCTTTAGCACGACACACCTGGAAAGTGCTCACCTGGAATTCAGGCGGTCTCACGGCCCAGGTCTACCAGGAACTGCAGACCTTCATACGGATTCATACGCCTTCACCATTATGATCTCATACTTGTCCAGGAGACAAAATGGGGCTTTGATTCAGAGTGGAGCACTCAGGAGTTTCACTGCATTCACAGTCAGGGCCATAGCAAAGAAGACCGTCCAGCAGGATTGCTGGCTATGGTTTCTACCAGGATGGTCAAGGCTCAGGACCTGCAGTTCAACATTGTACACCCCGGGCGACTCCTGCATCTGCGTGTACCGGCAGGACAGGTCCACCTCGACATTATCACGTGGTATCAATACTCGGCAAGCACTGCGGAAGGCGTGTTTGATCGCCGGCAGCAACTTCTTCTCAAATTGCAGAAAACCCTTCATGGTCTGCCACAGCGGAACCCTTGATTTTGGGAGGAGATTTTAACTGCGGCCTCGTCGAGTACAAGGCCACCTGTGGACCATGTGTACTGCCAGCAAACGTTCTTCAATACAAAGACCTTCAGGATCATCAACATGTGTTTCGCACTCTTCCTCTTTGCGCGCTCAACACATGGTGCCGACCTAAGCACGGACAGCTTGCCACATTCACGTTCGGAGCTTTGGCATCACAGATTGATTTTATTCTCGTTCGGCACCGACAAGCCTCGAAACTCGCTAAGCAATCTTGTGTTCTGTCGGACAGCTTCCCCGTTGCCAAATGGCGACAAGGCGGCAATCACCACCCAGTGGCGGCTCACGTTCCGGTCCCTAGACATGTCTTCAAGCACAGTCGCCAGACCACTGCTTCCTTTGGCCGGGACCAACTGCTTCAGGATCTTCGTCAGGAACATCCACCCCCTGCTCTACAAGCTCTTCGAAATCAGGTGCAGCAACAACTTCCCACACCTATACCACAGATGAGTCAGCTTCTACTTCAGGCGGCAACTTCATGCTACCCGGTTCCTCCCAGGCCGACTGCACCACCCGATCAGCCTGTGGCTCTTGCTAACTCTGCGAAACACATGTGGGCACTGTTCCGTACCATGAAAGCGCAACGAAGAAACATGCAGGGCATCGTGGCGGCCTGGAGAGCATGGGCCCGTTTCCAGGAGGCCCACCGCATTCACAAGCAACGTTCTAAACAGAGGACCAAGCAGTGCAGAGACGATCTCCTTGAGCAGGCCCAGGAAGCTGCGGGGCAGGGCCACTGGTCGGGACTATGGAAGATCGTCAAGCAGATGACCCCCAAGGTACCGAGGAAAAGGCTTCAACTCAGGCTAAGCACTGCCGAGGAGCTAGCATGGATCGTGGAGGCCTATGGTGAACGCTATGGTGTCCAGGCCACGCATGAGGGATGGCAGGGACCGGAGGGTTCCAATGAGCTTGTCACCATTGACTCTGCTGAACTTCTGGATCAACTTCTCAGGCTCAATCCGAACAAAGCTGTACCACGAGATTCAGCAGGTGCTCTTCTTTGGAAGGCCTGCGCCTACCAGATTGCACCCGAGGTGACGCAACAGGTCAATAGAGATTGGCAGTCTTCTCCTCCGAAGGTACATACCGATTGGTCGGATGCCACCGTCTCGCTCCTCCCCAAGGCCCACGGTCGCATGCAGACCCCTCTTGATCTTCGTCCTATTGGCCTACAGGATCCGTTGGGCAAATGCGTGATGACACTCCTAGTCCGTCAGGCGCGGAAAGCTGTCACCGAGCTGATCCGCCGGTATCCTCAAACAGCCTACATTGCAGGCCGCGGAACAAGCACAGCACTGCGACGAGTCTTTGCGCACTGCTCTTTGGTGCGCGCCGACTGTGGCAATGACAGACAAGAAGCTACAGTGCAGCGGAGGCCTTCAGCTCAGCCTGGATCTCTCGGCAGCGTTCGATATGGTGCGCTGGGATTTTCTCAAGACTGCTTTGGATCTGGCACAGGTCCCAGTCTGCATCCAGGACATTCTACTCGGATGGCTGGCGCAGGTGCGCTACCTGTTTCATCATAGAGAGCTCTGAGATTCCATCTCCCCCAAATGGGGGTTACGGCAGGGGTGCCCTGCCTCACCTATACTGTGGAGCGCCTTTACGTCATTACTGTGTGCCACTCTAGAACACAAACTTGGCACAGGATGGTCCACACTTTACGCGGACGATACACATCTACGATGGAGGTTCCGCAACTACTTTCAGCTCGAGCGCAGCATGTCTGAAGTTCGAATTGCTTTGGGTGTCTTCAAGGCCTTCCACATGAAGGTCAATTATGAGAAGACCAAGGCCATCTTGAAGGTAGTGGGAGGCTTTCGGGAGCGTGTGCATAAAGAATACGTACGCAAACATGCACAGGAACGTCGACTGTTACTATCTCCTCGAGATCCTTCTGAATGGGTGACCCTGGTTACACAGGCCGAGTACTTGGGACTAATCATCTCGTATGGGGCGTTCGAGCTTCAGTCCATGCGTCACAGAATTGCTAAGGCCAACAAACGAAGATGGGCAATGGCCTCCGTTCTTCATTCGAAGAAGCTTGGGGTAGCCTACAAGCTTCAAGTCTGGCGAAGTTGCATTCTTAGCTCTCTCGCTTATGGTCTTCATTGCTGTGGTCCAACGGGTGATCAGCTTGAGGAGGCCCAACGACATATGATGAAGCACGTCCGAGCCGTCACCAACAACCAGGCTCATCTCACAGGGGACTCACACGAGAAGATTATGATCAAATACAGTGTGCAGCCCATGGTGGATCTGGTACGACGAGCGCATGAACGTGAACAGCGGGTCGCTACCTTAGCTCCCGATTGGATGTGGGACCCGGACTGGAGCCTTCACGTAACACAGCAACTCGACCAGGTCACAGAACGAAGTGAGCAGCAGGCTGAGCGTGCTATCTGGAACTGCCCCGTCTGTGAAGAAGCTTTCACTACAGCAGCAGCGCTCAAAATTCATCCTCGACGAGCACATAACTTGATCGATGAACCTCAGCGCGTCTTCAACAAAGCTATGCATTCACAGAAGGGCCTGCCTATATGCAAATTCTGTGATCGTAAATTCTCGAAGTGGCAGTCGCTCGCTGAACACATCAACAAACACGCTTGCCCTAAGCTTCTGAAGCTTCCTGATGCCGAGCACGACGGGCTCTTTCAAAACATGCCTGCTGAAGTTGAGCCTCCCCCTGTTGTGCACAGTGAAGACCACTCAGCGGATGCTGAGAAACCGGCTGCACCTGATGACATTGTGATTTGCAAACGTCCTGAAGTTCGCAAGGCTGCTCGCATTGGGGTTAATGCCTTCATACCTCTCAAGGACATCACAGCTCAGCTGCGGCAAACCTGTGGCATCTGCGGACAATGGATAGCTTCACATCGCAGATTGAAAAGGCACTTTCAGTACTCACACAAAGACATCCTTCAGGTCCTAGGCGATCGAACACAGAAGCAAGTCACGCGCACTGCCACAGCTAGCCCCACGTGCCACTACTGCTCGGCTACGTGCAAGGACTGGCGTGGACACCTTCCCAAATGCACAGTAGCCTGGCAGTGCTCTATTCTTGCCTTGTTGGAGCAGGATGTTCGGCGATGCAGAGATGGAGGAATTTTTCGGAGCAGTGCGCACGGATCCCAAGCTCAAGAGAAGACGTCCGGAACAGACGGACGACAAGCCTCCCCTGCACGAGAGGGGCTCCGGGGGGCCACAGCTCAAAGCCGGGGCCTTGACTACTTCTTTAGCAAGGATCGTCCTCCGCCAGGACGAGGAGCTCAGGGTCCTCAAACAAGACTTCAGCCTGGTCTTATGGATGAAGGCGGGCGCCGACAGTGTGATGCCATTTCTTCACCAAACGGCGGTGCAGTTTCGAAAGAAACAAAAGGATTCGCCAGACGGGGGTCCGGGCTGGCAGCCCTTACGGACCGTGATGGCTTTAGCAATGTTCCGCGAGTTGGCCACGCGAATGGAAGCAGTGACCAAAGACGAACCACTGCAGAAGTCGATGTTGGAAAAGGGCTGGATCGATGCCCAGGGCTGCTGGAAATTCCAGAGATGGAACCCATCTCTGCGGTTCCTCGAGGAAGACACCGACAAACCGCCCCTCAATCACGACAAGGTCAAGGAACTTCTCGAACTCCTCTATGACTCTATGCCTCCTTGAAGGGCGAAACAGTCCTCAGGTTCAAGTGTACGAGAACCTTGACAGAAACGATGCAATCCCAAGCTGTCTTCAAGATGGAGCTGTCCGCCAGGGGTCAGGGAGTAGTTGCTTGGAAGCTGCTTCAGCAGCTTCAAGGAAGCTGCGTCCTACAGCTCATCGGAGTGGCGTACCGCAAGGAGAGTTTCAAGGACAGCCCTGCCATCGCCAAGTTGAGGGAGATGCTACGTCAAGGATGAGTGCGGTGAGGCTCACGTTGGGGAATTCTACCAATGTTTGCTACATGAACAGCTTCGTGCAGGCACTGATGTGGGCGGCCGAGCTGGCCGGGGAGACATGGATGGCTTGTCTGGGGCGTTGCGCCTACTTCTTCAACCTCCTCTGTGACCTGTGCCCCACCCGTACCAAACACCTCACCAAGGATATCGTATGGAATGCCTTGATTTCACGATGGCCAGAGCCTCATCGTCAACATGATGTTGCTGAGTTTGCCTCGTTTTTGTGCTCACAGCATTTGATACAGCTCGTACAGGGGACGTGGGAATCACGGAAGTTCCGAGATGGTGAATGTCAGCGGGTGGATGAGGGGCACACTTCTCAGCCATTGTCTTTGGTGATGCCTTCTTTGCCTCCTGGACTTTCGGCGCCCGTTCAGGTTCAGACGCTCGTCACGACATGGATGACACAGGATGAGATCCACGCCTTTACGGCTACGCCCCCAGTGCTTATGGTACAGCTTGGTCGTTTCCGCGCGCCGGGTGCTAAAGTTCATAAACTCCACAGACCTGTTGCGGTTGACATGCAGATCCAGGTCCCCGTCTACATGAGAACGACGGATGTTCTCGTCAGGCAGCTGCTGTATAACTGCGTGGCAATCATTTGTCATCACGGTGCTCATCCCCGTGCAGGACACTATCAAACCATTCTGTGCCACGACGGTGAGCTGTGGTGCTGCGATGATAGACGACCGGCTCGACAAGCCGATTCACTGCCGGATTGGGTGAGTACCAGCTGCTACCTGCTGCTTTATCAAAGATTCGATCGAGAATCGATGCCGATGCCCCTGTCTCACTTTTGCTCTTCTGACTTCTCACTCGCCATGCTAGGTTCCTCGGAACGGTGGTGAGCTTTTGAGAGATGTTTTGAGGCGACAACATGTCGTGCGTATCGCCGGGTCTTGACCCGCTCATTTGTCCGACGCCTGGTGGACTGGACTTCCGCTGCGATCGAAGCTCGAAGCTCCTACTCCTACTCCCACTCCTACTCCTAGTCCTACTCCTACTCCTCCTACTCCAACTACTCCTACTACTCCTCCTACTCCAACTACTCCTACTACACCTACTACTACTCCTACTCCTACTCCTGCTCCTCCTACTCCAACTACTCCTACTACTCCTCCTACTCCAACTACTCCTACTACACCTACTCCTACTACTCCTACTACTCCTACTCCTACTCCTGCTCCTACTCCTCCTCCTACTACTACTGCTGCCGCTGCCGCTGCCACTTGATACTGCTGCTTCTACTACTACAGCTGCAGCCACAGCAGCCACAGCAGCCACAGCAGCCACAGCAGCCACAGCAGCCACAGCAGCCACAGCAGCCACAGCAGCCACAGCAGCCACAGCAGCCACAGCAGCCACAGCAGCCACAGCAGCCACAGCAGCCACAGCAGCCACAGCAGCCACAGCAGCCACAGCCCACAGCAGCCACAGCAGCCACAGCAGCCACAGCAGCCACAGCAGCCACAGCAGCCACAGCAGCCACAGCAGCCACAGCAGCCACAGCAGCCACAGCAGCCACAGCAGCCACAGCAGCCACAGCAGCCACAGCAGCCACAGCAGCCACAGCAGCCACAGCCACCACTGCCACCACTGCCACCACTGCCACCACTGCCACCACTGCCACCACTGCCACCACTGCCACCACTGCCACCACTGCCACCACTGCCACCACTGCCACCACTGCCACCACTGCCACCACTGCCACCACTGCCACCACTGCCACTGCTGCTGCCACTGCTGCTGCCACTGCTGCTGCTACTGCAACTGCTACTGCTGCTGCTGCTCCTGCTACTCCTCCTCCCATGCACAGACACACATTCTCAAAGTATGGGCGTGTGCATGGTTGGCAACATGAATCAGGCTGATGTTGATGATATTGATGAAATCGACAAGGAGATGGATATTTTGATACCAAGTATGCCAGACGTAAAAAAGGCATACACAACAAAAGCGCAATGGGATGATCCGTGGAGGTCTGGATCCTTCCCCGCGCTGTGTGAGACTCGCGTGAATCACACAGCACAAAATGAGGTGACGGTGAAAATGAAGATGGGTGCCCGGGCAGCTGTCCCTCAGGACCCAGGCGCAGCGAATCAGGTATGGTGGGGGAGAGCTTCGTTGAACAGAGCTCCCCTGCACCCCCTCCGTCCTCCTGCATGGGACATGATACAAAATGAAAAAAGGGCGAGATTTAGCTCAGCCCATGAACTAAGGACAGTACACACACAGACACACGATCCTACAAGTTGCAGTCTAAACCCTAAACCCAAAACTCCTACTCCTACCACTCTCACCATCACCCTGGGCCCTGGTCTTTCTCAGTCTGCTTGCTTCCGTAGGAGCTAACTCGAGACAATGTCCAGAGCCACCTCGCTCGCTTCCAAGTGGATGCCAGCGCCTGTCAGTTGCCCATGGGCGCCCAAGCCCAACTGGAGGGATGCCTGTTCTTTTGTTGGGATGCATTGAAGCTGGTGATTCGGAGGTTAGGAGTGCAGATGGTTACATCGTAGGCAGTGTCTTTGGAATCAGCTGGAATTAGTTTGCCGTGCTAGAGGAAAGAGGAAATCAGCAACACACGCGGTGCGGAGGTCGGCTCTCCCGTTCCATGAAGATCAGGAGTCAATTTGCAAGTGTGTCAGCTAAAACCATGGGGATCTGTTTGCCCGAAGTCCCGAACCTCCGAGGGCCGCTTGGGCAATTCGGTTTTTTGCTTAGAGAGGATGCAGAGTCTGCGAAGCGATTGTGAGAGTTGCCGATGAGGGATGTGTGGAGTACTCATGATAATGCCGGCGCAGGATCGTCTTGGCGGCTGCGCTCTGGCAGCATCCACACATCTTGATACTGGATGAGCTGGCGGACTACATGGACGTTGAGGAGGGATACCGTGTGTGTCATAAGCGAGGATCCGGAAACCACACACCCTCAAGCCCAACTCTTGTTGGATTTGGGCAAACAAGCAACCACTTCTGCCTTGAAGTAAGTCTCGAGCTAGGGCTCTCGCAGGGATTGAGTTGCCTTGTGAGAGAACGTGGAAAGGACATCCAGGGCCTCAGAAGTGCTCTCGACCACTTTGCCGGTGGCGTCATCCTGGTTTCCTCGAATGCAGCCCGGCAGAAGCCAAACACCCTCGAGCCCACCCTCTCCCTTATCCTTCCCAGCAGAACTTCGTTATAGCAACTCGGCTGGCTTCATCTCCCCAAGAAGCCTAACTATAATCAACAATGCTCAAGTGTCGCAGCTCCATGGGCGTGACTGCCTGACGACCAGAAGCGGAATTGATGGATTGCGTTTACGTCGATGCAATCGGTACACAGATACCGTAGCATCGCAAAAGGAGCAACTTTGCAACGAGTTCGCCAATGAGAAGTGGTTCATGGATGACGGCGTGCTGCACGTCGAAGGAACCTTTAAGGTTCGCTCGAGGGAGTGGGCGAAAGGTAGTCGGGGCGAAGTTGCTTAGGTAAGTAGGCCAATAGGAAGAGCCAGTGGGGCTTTTTGTGGCTACACGCTTCCAGATCCGGGATTTGAGCATCCTACCCTGAACCGCAGGGTGACATCCACTGTTCTGCAAAGACGGCAGTGACACCTTCCGAGCCGTTCGGCGTTGCATTGGGCTGCACCGATGGGCTTTCGGGCATAAACCGCAGGCAAACAATAATCATGATCCAATCTTGTCGGATCGTGCAGAGGGCCAGTCCGTGCGTAGTTCAGTATTCCTGGAATGACAGCTTCGGCACGTAGGAGCATCTTCCACGTGCTTCGACAGCAGCTATACCCAACTCTTGCACGCCCAAGACTGAACTTCAGCCATGCTGAGCCGAGGGCGGCCCACCAGCACATTGCAGACATCGAGCGGCGGATGCGCGAGCACCGGCGCAAGCCCCTGACAGACAAGGCCTGCAGGGCCGCGAACCTGTCAGTCCATCGGCGTTCTACCCTGCCGATGCTTCCAGGAGCTTTGGCAGTTGGAGGACGAGCTTCACGAACTCAAAGAGGACAGGGTGGTACAGCTGAGGGCGACCGGGGACCGGGACTTCAAAGGCCTCCCACTGCTCCGGAGTTCATATCTGCGGGCCCAAGACGTGGGTTACGGCAGTGCAAGGACATGTTGAGGAGTTGGCCGGGATATCTTTCGAGCCATCAAGCGCGGCGTTCGAGGAGCTCTTGCTGAACGACGTTATGCTCCAAGATCCGGAAGACGACGACGCCTACGCCGCTGGGCAGGACGAGGTCGTAGCCTCTGAGAAGCCGGCTTCTGCCCAAGGCCATCTCGGGGCTTGGCTCGGTGATCGACGAGCAGCTCGCGGAGATCCTCCTAGAAGAGCCGCTGGGCTCCAGAAGATGACAACGGTTCCTGGAGTCAAGGAAGACATGCGCACATTCCAAAGCCCGAGATAATCCGAGCATCGGAGGTTCGGTGCCGATCTCAAGAATTTCCGACAAGCGCAGCACGCGACATGGCAGCAGAGGCTTTCTTCAGGGGTGGAGGTTTGTGCCGTGTGGTCTGAGGGTTATTTGACGTGTTTGGGGAATCGAATTTCATGCTCGCTTGAGCTCAGACATGGCGGATTACAAAGGAAGTAACTAGAGTGTCCGTGTGTTACCCGAGCAGCTGCCACTGACATGCTGCCAAAGACCGGCAACCTGCTTGCCTTGTCCGCTTATCTGCTTATCTGCTTGCCCGCATATCATGTCTACCGACTCACAGACGCATGCATCTATCTACATCCCAGCTGCCTAACCCTGTGAATTGCCACAGCATGCTTCTGAGTTCTGGGAACTTTCGCACTTTGTCGAGGACTTGTTGCAGAGGCTTTACACGGATTCAGCCGTTTCGATGATGCAGATACCGTGCACGAGGTATAAGTTGAGGACTTCTGTCCGATGCTCGTGCTAAGGACTTCAACCTGAAGCTAAGCCTGCTGGTGGAGGAGAGGCCGGGGGAAGATCCCGCGCCCTTTGGTTGCATTTTTCGTCGCATCCGACAGCAAAACCTAGTTAGAGCTTTAAGACTGGAGGTTGGACCTGCTGGGCTTCGTGGCCTACAAGACCTGGGGCCCGCCGATTCCCGGTGTAAGTGTAGGCCGTGCCCAAGGGAGAGCGGGAGAGCGGGAGTGGAGGTGAGGCTCAGGTTCAATTTTCAGCTAACGCGGCTCTAACGTTCGGGACAGAGGCTTGAGGTTCAGGCTTCTTCATGATCTGAGACGCAGGGTTGGCAGTCATTGCAGTATCTTGTTACTGCGATGCTACTGCGCCCCGGCCCAGCCCACATGACAATCGGTGGATATACTTGTGAAGCCAAGCTGAGCAACACGGTTCGGTATTCAAAGTGATTGCGATCCCCGTCCGAAAACGCTGTCAATTGTGGTGCTGCATCCCTGCGAAACCCCGACCTCTAACAGCCCTGACTCCAAGACCCCGATGACTTAAACGAGAGATCGAAGGCGCCGTCGGCGTAGCAGACAAGCATCGGGGGAAGGGTTACGGCAGGCAGCTTATGAGCCAAGGCAGCAAGGGTAAATTGAAGCTTTCCTGGTAAAGAGTTGATGGCTTTTTGATTCAAGTTTCAGAGCTTCGTGTGCGTGGGAATCTTTTCGCAGACGTTACCGTTGAAAAATCATGCGGGCGAACGTGCCGTGATGTTCCCTGCCTTGTTAAGCTCGCCTCCTCTTCGCATGTGGCTTCAGGAAAGTTGCCGAAGACCGTGCAGCACTTTTGGGCATCACCACCGCTGAGGTCTGAGGGGTTTCAGGCTTGCAAGCTGGCTTAGGAATTCTTCGGAGTTTTTTTTATTGGCTGAGAAAGCATCTTGCAGTGGGACCTCGAAGCTGTCAGGTCTTGACGATGGAATTTTTGAGGTGATTCAGAAACATTTAGGGCCAGAAGGCTTTCTGGCACTGTCATTATCCTGGAGCCTTCCGTCGAAGAACGTTTCAGGATCGCACGTGCCACAGAGGGGATTGCCAGCTGCGTCGTAGGCCAAGATATCTCGGTTGCAAGGCGCAGGAGGCTAATCCGACCAAGTCAGCGAAGACTAAGATAAGGCAGGTCCTACAGTGCACCACACTACAATGTCTGAAGGCGATCTTTCATCTTTGCGTGACGTTGGCTGCACGGCAGTGTGCCACGCTACGCGACGCTGCATCCTGTATCTGTATCATTTCCAGAAAAATTGAGTGGCAATGCCCTTGCATGAAGTGGCATGACATCAGGTGACGTACAAATGATGTACGATACCTTATGATGTGCTACATCTTGGATTAAGATCTCAATTTTTTGTATCATTACTTTTCTGTGCCGTATTGCGTTGTGTCGGGTTCTGACAGAACACGTCATGCCACGAAAAAGATTCTGGTTAGACTGTGGTGCTGCCTGCAGCCTGCAATATGTGAAACTGGCATTCCATCCCTTAAGCTGCTTGCGGCCAGGCTCCTCAAGCCTTTGCGAAGACCCTTCAACCGCTGTCCCCGCTCGACCCAAACCCAACCCGCTAGCCGAAATCTGAAGGGCTTCCGGCCCGGAGAAGTGCGGCTGCGGTCTCTTTCCTCTGCAGTGCGTTTCTACGAGCGTCTAGGTGTCTCGGTCGCAGATTCTAAGGTGTCTCCGTGCCGTGCGTTGCTTTTCCGGAGGTCTGGGTCTCTGTGTTTTCTGCAAGCCGAGGCTACGAGCGCGTCGAGGCGCGCGAAGAGCGATGCGGAGCGGTGCGGAGCGGAAGGGGGGTCACTTGTGTTTTTTTTTTTGGGTTCACTTGTGTCTTTTTTTTGGGGTCACTTGTGTCTTTTATTTGCTTCGGAAGCAACAGTCTCGAACGAGAGGTGCCTTGGTAGGACCTGACCCCGAACGAAACCCTGATGAAACAAGGCCCTACCCCTAAGAGGGGTAAACCCAGAACGAAACCCTAATGAAAGAAGGCCCAACCCCTAAGAGGAGTAATCGGCCCAACCCCTAAGAGGAGTAAATCCAGAACGAAACCCTAAAAAGAGTAAACCCAGAACGAAACCCTAATGAAAGAAGGCCCAACCCCTAAGAGGAAGAAACCCAGAACGAAACCCTAAAAAGAGTAAACCCAGAACGAAACCCTAATGAAAGAACGCCCAACCCCTAAGAGGAGTAAACCCAGAACGAACCCCTAAAAGGAGTAAACCCAATGAAAGAAGGCCCAACCCCTAAGAGGAGTAAACCAAGAACGAGACCCTAAACGGAGTAAACCCAGAACGAAACCCTAATGAAAGAAGGCCCAACCACTAAGAGGGGTAAACCCAGAACCAAACCTTAAAAGAGTAAACCCAGAACGAAACCCTAATGAAAGAACGCCCAACCCCTAAGAGGAGTAATCGGCCCAACCCCTAAGAGGAGTAAACCCGGAACGAAACCCTAAAAAGAGTAAACCCAGAACGAAACCCTAATGAAACAAGGCCCAACCCCTAAGAGGAGTAAACCCAGAACGAAACCCTAAAAGGATTAAACCCAGCACGAAGCCCAACCCCTAAGAGGAGTAAACCCAGAACGAAACCCCAAAAGGAGTAAACCCAGAACGAAACCCTAATGAAAGAAGGCCCAACCCCTAAGAGGAGTAAACCCAGAACGAAACCCTGAAAGGAGTAAACCCAGAACGAAACCCTAAATCCCACAGCGAAACCCTGATGAAGAAGGCCCAACCCCTAAGAGGAGTAAACCCAGAACGAAACCCTAAAAGGAGTAAACCCAGAACGAAACCCTAATGAAAGAAGGCCCAACCCCTAAGAGGAGTAAACCCAGAACGAAACCCTAAAAGGAGTAAACCCAGAACGAAATCCTAATGAAAGAAGGCCCAACCCCTAAGAGGAGTAAACCCAGAACGAAACCCTAAAAAGAGTAAACCCAGAACGAAACCCTAATGAAAGAAGGCCCAAGCCCTAAGAGGAGTAAACCCAGAACGAAACCCTAAAAGGAGTAAACTGTATATGTTAGTTGCATGTGTTTATGTGTACGTATATGTTTACATATAGGTATACGTATGTGCGTACAATGTGTAATATACAATAAATATCTACACATGTTTAGACACCCCTTCGTAGAGTACGCATGCATGTCTATGTGCATGTGGACGCAGAAAGGGAGCAAGCTAATTGCCTTTGCACTTTATGTATACCGAGCCTGAAACTCCTACCAAGGCACCTCTCGTTCGAGACTGTTGCTTCCGAAGAGGGAAAAAGACAGAAGCGACCCCGAAAACAAAGACACAAGCGACCCCCAAAAAAAAGACACAAGTGAACCCCAAAAAAAGACAGAAGTGATCGGGCACCCTTTCGGAGCGGTGTTGGGGACGAGCCAAGCCGAATCGCCTTCTTAGCCTCTCCTGACAGACATCGTATAGCCAGGCCTCTCGCCTTAGCTAACGAGAGGGGAAGGATAACCCACAATACATGGAACCACAAGACAGGGAACCACAGGGGCGGGGTGGGGAAGGATAGGAAACAACACAGGGAACCCCAGGGCCCCCTTCCCTTCCCCTCCGCTGATGGCGATGATGTTGTGTACAATGACGTTGATGTGCTATTGCCAGTGTGGCTGTTGGCCGTACCTCCGCTCTTATGTCGCCCTGGGCTTCGCCACCGCATGTTCATTGCTTTATTTAGTTGAAAATCGTGCTTGGCTTGTGATGTTCTTGCGAAAACTGTAACGACCGTTGCCATGCCAGGCCAAGTTTCGGTTGGGTTCGCTCAAAGTCATGTTTGTTTGATTTTCGTTCGGGACTCTTGAGCAAGGGATTGCATTCAACACTAGCATTGGCTTTGGAGCTCAGGGCAGGTCGAAGTTCAGAACCCGCAACAGCCATGGAAGGGGGCGCAGCCGACCGCAACCACAGGGGGGAGGGGCAGGGGGCAACCCACACCACAGGGAACCACAGGGGGGGTCGGGGATACCATGGGGTGGTGGGGGAGGGGGGGCCTAGCAACGCTGCACCATGGATGCGCACTTTCGTCGAAGAATGCAAGTGACCTGGTTGTGATGCGAGGGGGGGCGTGGGAGCACCTTTGGCCAATGTGTTGTAGTTGAATTAGCCACTAGTCTCTGTAGATGTTTTAGATAAACAGCCATGCTAGAATCCTTTGTCCACCTTGTAGTGTCAGTTTTGAGGTTGTAAGTTGCGTGAAAACCAATTTGGCAAGTGTGTCAAGGGCTCCTGATGAGCACAAGTTGCTTCCGAGAGTTTCGTCTCGAAGCCAGCTGCCTCTCTGCCCGGGCGCTGTGATCGAAGTTTGGTGCCGCAGTGCTGATGTCGGAGCAAGCCGCGAGTAGATGCGCTTCGATGCGAAATTGATTTGTTCGCGTCAAAAGCGGGAGGAAGACGAGGATGAGGCGAAGCACACGCCCGCCTGTCCGGATCCGGAGCGGCATGCCGGGGAGGTGGACGAGGAGGGAGCCCGGTTCAGTGAGTAGACGGGTACTAGTACGGTAGGGGCAGAAGGGGCATAAGTGTTGATGTTCGGTCTGTGATCAACCTTGGTCCCTTAGTGGCTTATGGAGCAAGGCGCGCTGCTTGTCGGCATCTTGCATTTCAGAGAACAAGTCAAGACAGATCCTGCCCCTTGAAAGCTGGTCGTGAGTCTCGTAGCTCGGCCTAACAGCATTCCTCCTTCGTGGAATTCGTGTAAGTTTAGATTCTCCTTAGATTGGAGGACGATGACGACGGCCCGTGTGTGCCAATGGTCCGGAAGTGTGCACCTCCAAGCCCACCTACGCTGATGAAGATGGGTGCCTTGCTTGCAGAGTGGGCTTCTGGTTCAGTTTTGGTCACGGTTCGGCGAGGCTCTCTGTCTCTGCATTCACAGGATTCACTGCCACGGAACTCGGCAGGCCTGAGCCTCAAACCTCTCACATCCTTCATCTTGGATCCTGTGTTGCCGCGCCGAAACCCCAATCCGGGAAGCGAGTGCAAACGCACCCAGAAGCGTCCAAGATCCTGAAATTCCTCTGGTTCCTATGGCCTTGTCTGTTCACGGCTGTTGTCAGGTCCTCTGGTCTCCCCAAAGCAGGCGCCCTGGTGCCCGAAGCTCTCGCGAGCTCTGGAGGCCGGCTCGAAGGGTTCCTCCGCACGTGGGGAGAAAGGCTTTGGTGTTCAGGGCTGACTGAAGAATCCTCGGGTGTACGAGGCTAAAGGAGATTCTAGGGTTTATGTTATAGGGTGCGGTGTAGGTCCCTTTCGGATAGGGGTCAGGGTTGTGGCTGTTCCTGGTTTTGATTTTGGGCTTCAGGTTGTCAGCGAAAGTTGCCAGAGCATGATTGATTTTATTTTCTCCCCTCCCAGGGCGTTTGTCTGTAGGCTACACCGAAAAAAATCATTCTCTGGATTTTCAGAGTCAGGGGTTGTTGCCGGTTGTTGTCTTCGTTTGGTGATGTGATGTGTGATGCGAAGTGTTGTGTGATTGCTTACGCTTAAGGAGGACGCAACCAAGAAATCCTCGCTTCGCTGGAAAGTGAGAGCAGTATGCTGCGGACCCGAAGCCTGCCTCGAAGCCGAGAAAGCCAAAACCCTGAACTTCACACCTTCCAAGGATGGGCCGACCTGGCCATCCCTAGACCAGCACCTCAGCATCTTGGGAGGGGTTCGGGGTTGCAAAGCGACGCTGCAAAAATCCAGTTCTTGACGCCCAGGCTTCTTGTGCGTCCGAACCTATCCACGAAGAGTTTGCTGAAACCGAGGTTTGAATTGTAACGTGTGGTCAGCTGAGCAGACGGTTGTTCTGCTTTTCGGCTTCTGAGTGCCGGAGAGCCGGGCCCTGGTAGCAGCGCCTGCCTGGGCATCTGGGCATCCCCCCTTCTTCGGTTTCCTTTCGAGTTGACTGGGGCTTAGCTCCTGATGGTAGGTCTGCTGGTCTCGGGGCCCGGGGCACCTCCCAGTGTTTCATGAGATTCATAAGGCACGGCTTAGAAAAAGACTGCAACTCTGAAGTGCACATGGCGGGTTGCCCATCTCGACCAGCACTTGGTCTAGACCCTGCGCCCCATGCAGCTCCCTGCAAACTGTTTACACAACACGTAAACCTGAGACCAGAAATTGTAGAGCGAAAGCACTGCTAGTCTCGAGTCTCGCAGGGCCACTTTCTGGTGCTTGGTCTCTTTGTAGCTCAAAGCGTGCGGCTCCTGGTGCAATCGCATACGCTCATATACGCTCCAGCACCAAATACACCAGATCCAGGACCCACCAGCAGAGAGTAGCCACACAAACGCAAACCCTCAACAAGCTGGACGTTTCAAGACTAAATTCGCTGCCGAAAACGGCAGCTTGTAGTTTCCTTGCGACTGGCAGATTTTGCGCCCCTGTCAGCCGTCCGCCTTGTGGCCAGCGTAGCTCGAAAGTCACTTCGCCACTCCGACGAAGCTCTAGACCCGGGGTTTTCTGCCCTGCGCTTGGGCACTTGCAGATTATCTCATGGAGCTCAACGACGTCACTTGAATGCTTAAGCTTTGTACCTTCACAACACCTGAATGTTTTTGGGAGCCCTAGACGTTATACTTCACCCTAGGCCCTAGGCAGGTGCCTTCCTGAAGTGACTTGACCTGGGCGGGCCTGCCTGAAGTGACTTGACCTGGGCGCTTAAATTGGACAGATGCCCGCTGTTGTGTCAGGGCCGTGCAGAGTATTCTTAGTCTCCTTTCGACGTACTGCGGCAGATGGTGAATCCCGTGTTATGCGACTAACGGTGCCTCAGGCACCCGTGCTCTAGCGTTCCTCATACCTCTGCGACTGCTACACATATTCGTGTGCGTGCTGCTGCTCCCACATCCGAACATGCAGGTGCTGCTTAGTGCGCCGCTGCTTGCCATAAAAGCTATAAGCTAAGGTTTCCTATTGATTTTGACATAGCTGCCGTGGGGCAATGACTACTCTGTACTGGAACCGAGATGCTCGCTGCTTCACTCCAGTCGTAAGGAGAGCAGCAGAGACGACGTCTTTTTGAAATGCTCGCCTTCGAACCTCGAGCCAAAGCGCGCGGGCCCAGCGCTGCTCTGCAGCCGCTTCGGGTGGCCACGCTGCGCAGTTCTGCCTAAACGGCCTAACGAGCCAGAAGTGCGACACTGGCAGACAGGGAGGTGCGAAGGGCACAAGCCTCTTCAGCAGCTTTGCTCCAAGCGGCACCACTCGTCGCGCAAAGCGTTCAGATGTTGTGGTGAAATTCCCGAGACGAGACGCATTGTAAGCCACTTCTCGGTGCCTTGTGTCCACTGGGCACATCTAAGCAGAGCTTGCATGACGGGAGCTCAGATGTCTTGAAGGAGACAAAGAGTGCTGCTTCGGGAATGTCAGCCGCTTTGAAAGGGTGATCCACCCCAAGACCTCAAATCCTGCTTACTCATCGGGCGGCCTGATGCCTGAACCCCGCAGAAGCTCCGAGTCGTAAGGCCTTCGCGCGCTGCGCTGGAGGCTTGCCTCGGAGTGGTGGTTTGGGGGCTGGAGTGGTCGTGGATTTCGCACGTTTGGTGGAGTTTGCTGCATTTCGCTCGGGTTCTGTGTTGTGTGGGTGTAACAGTCGGGTTTCGGGGTTAGTTTTCAGTTCTAAGGCTTCAGTCGTGCGGGTTGAAGCTCAGGTCTTCTGTTCTACTTCCAGGGCCTAGCCTTGAGGTTGTCAACAGCTTCGGCGACAAATTCCAGATTTTTGGAAGCGAACTCAGGGATGGCAAAACTCACGCTTCTAGTTTTCGGCCCGATTGGTGGCCTCCGCAGCGAATGCCCGAGTGGCACCTTGCTTGGCGCTTCCGAGCTTTACGACACTGCCTTCGTTTGTTTTGCTCCAATGTGATTATGACCAACATCACCACGACCTTATGCCTTTGCGAATGTGAACACATCTCCGTCAAGGTGCACACGTGCCTCGACATTAGTGCGGGGGGCAATCGCTTGCAGCATTTTCAGGGTTCTATGCATTGGTTCTCACGGTTTTTGGGGTGCGAGTGGTCCATGCCCCCAAAAGGCTACAACCAGCTCTGTAAACCATCTGCCCGGCCCTTCGTGGCTTCAGTTTCAAACACATTGTCCAGATTTGTTCAGAGCGCAGTCGTCGAGGTCTGGTGCAAGCTGGCAGGTCTTTGCCTTCTCCTGCACGCGAAGTGTCAAGACGCATGCTGCAGTTGTGAGCCGAAGCTTGTGATGAAAGCACCTTTCTTCCAGGCCGCGTCGCAAGCGGGAGGTGGGGACGCCGGTAATGCCTGGGTTGCAGAGGGTTACGGGTTGCCACTGTTGGACCTGCTCCAAGCCTGCATTGCGACATTGACATGTGCAGGCCTGCACTGAGACTGGCTGCACATGCTGAGGACATGGCCTGCCAGCATTTGGCGCCGGCAGTCGCGGGCTGAGCTTCTGCAACCCAGTTCCGGATTCCTACACGTGTCGAGGCTCCGATTGGTCGTGCATACGCAACTCGGATGTCGGGTTCTATCCTCCCGCTGCTAGGTCATCGAAAGCTGGGTCTGGTTGCCGTCGCTCCAAGCTTGAGAGACCCCAAACTGTCGTCACCAAATGCACCAACTATGCAATTCCCTGAAATCCTGAATCCTGAAACTTCAAGCTGCTCGAATCCCTGCATGCGCTTCAAACCTCGAGCCTGAATCCTTGCATAACCGGACGCTTAATCCCTCGACCTCCAACCCCAAGGCTTTTAACCTGCGAGCTGCAACCCCCCCGAATAGTTTGATCACACCGTCCCTTTCGTCCCATAGCATAGAACCCTTTGCCAGCTCATATGAGACCAACATTGCTTTGCCTTGGTCGCAGCGAATGTTATAGAGTATAGATTCGATGTTATAGCTGTTCCTTTACGTTCCGTTTAGATTCATGGAACTCGAACCTGCAGCTCAGAACCCTTGAATCACTGTTCCGTCCCGGAACTGCCGCCCTCAAAGGTGTCGCCTCCGCCGGAGCCTCAAATCCTTCAGGGTTGCAACTTCAGCTTGAAATCTTCACTCCCGACCTCAGACCAGAGCCCGAGCCTTTCTTTTCCGACAGGGGCTATCAGGGTTCCGACGTCTATTTTCGAAGATTTTGCATTTGTAGTGGCCCACGTAGGGGAAGGGGTTGGGGTTGCTTTGTTTGATATTTCCGTTTGCTTATGTTTCTCGTGTTTTTCGATTGGTTCGCTAGTCCTTCCTGTGGCATAGGCAGTGTTGCTTCTCGATTTCAGGGTTCGAGCTTTGAAAATCCGAGGCCGTCAATCTGCTTGTAAGCATGCTACTTCCGGCAATTTACTTGCGCTGCTTTTTCCTGCGGGGACTTGGGCATCCCGGTACCGACGCCCCCTGCAGTTTGTCCATTCCTTCACTTCCGAGCCGCGAGAGAGCAACTGAAACTCCGAAGTCAGCTGTAGCAAAGCCCCCCATAACATCCTCGTCGGGTCTTCTTCAAGATCTGAAGCGGAGTAAAGGATCCGAGAAGACTCCTCGCTTGAAGTGAGGTGGCATCTACCAGTCTGAGCAGCGGTCAGCATCTTAGGAGCCGCCCATGAAAGCTCCACGAACATGCCTGCTTCTGGAAACTGCTACTGGGGCATTTCTGTCGGAACTTTCGTCCCGGGTGGAACTTGAAAAGGGAAGTCTGAGATCATGTGAATCAGCATGTTCGCCTGCCTTTGGGCTGCCAGGACAGGTTGCTTTCTCGAATCTTCAGTGCATGAACCAACATGAACCCCGGACAGTAGTTGTCGTGCGAAGGTCTGAAGCGACCTGCGCCGGGTACAGGGCCAACTGCAGACACGGGCTTAGTCATGGTTGTGGACTTCAGTTGCAGTCTGCAAGCTCTTCGACTGCCTGGAGCTCTGCTGATTTTGGAGCAAGTTCCGTTTCGGAGATACAGCATACAATCCACAATGTGTCCAGCCTTCCGCTTTCTTTTCTTTGACAAAGACTTTAATGAGAACCGCCGTGATTGAGATATGGCCTTGGGAGGGAAAGAGGGAGAAACCTCTCTGCCGTTCACTCCACTCCCGTAAGAGGGTGATGGGGGAGAACCTTTTTCATCTTGCGAGAGAGAGAGAGAGAGAGAGAGAGAGAGAGAGAGAGAGAGAGAGAGAGAGAGAGAGAGAGAGAGAGAGAGAGAGAGAGAGAGAGAGAGAAAGAGAGAGAGCCATTTTGGCTCAAGCCATTTTGGCTCAAGGTGGGTGCTCAAGGTGCCGACCCGTCGTCCAGGCACCACAACCAGAGAGGGGGCGCAGAGAGAGGATTGAGACAGCCCGGCCGTTCCAGGTAGCAGGTCGGACCTCGCAGCAATACTCGAGAACTACCAGTTTGCTGCACTACGCGACTTCGGTCCAGTACGGTGCCGCTGCGGAGGCGTGCGGGGGACGTTGTCACCAACTTTGTGACGGCGGTCGGCGAGCCTACGCGAGCCGCGCTCCCTCACGTTGATTCGGGACACCAACCACCTCGAACGGGGACTACCACACTTCAGCGATCGTGACTTGGCAACCCGACCGAGAATGCACTCCACACCTATGGAATCGGATGCACCGGGGGGTCAAACAAACGCAGGGCCCCGGAAGCAGGCGAAGGCCTCAGCCTGGAAGCCATCCGCGAAGTGATCAAGGGGGAGCTCACTGCCAGCACCACCACCCTCAAGCATGAGATCTCGCAATCGGTGAACCGCCGCATGGATGCCGTGGAGGAACGAGTGGGGACACAACTGGAGAAGACAATCGAGAAGCTCGCCCAGCTGACGGATGCACAAGCCCAACAGGGGCAAGCCCTGGCAGCAGTACAACAAGAACAACGTGACACCGGGGGGCGCCTTCAACAGCTGGAACAGAAAGTCCAGCACCTCCAGCTCCATGGGGGGAGCTCCACGGCCGACACGGAAGGGGGAGGCAAGCAGCCGGCCCTCATCCTTGGTGGTTGGGACGACGACACCCAGGCCAGTGAAACATTGCAAAAGGCACGGGACATGATTCAACAATTGAGGGTCGATATCGACATGGACCAGGCCTTCTGCCCAGGAGTTCGGCGAGGATACGTCATAGTCCCATATAAGGCCCGTCAAGCGGAAACGGGGGAGGGACTACGTGATCGTCTCCGTCAAGCCCTCAAGCGCGTCAGGACAGCCAACATCGCCATGGGCCTAAAGCCAGACGGGGGAACAAGATACCTATAAATGCAGCTCTCTCAATCTCCCGAACGCCGGCGCCGCGCACAACTTGCGGGGAAGACCAAGCGCCTGCTGCTATCCCTTGGCGCCAACCCGGGGGCCGTTGAAGTCGAGTGGCCTTCCGGAACAGTCTGGTACTTTGCCACTCGAGTGTGCTCCGCTACCACCAGCCCAACGACGGGGGCAGAAATCGCCGGTGCAGGCTGGATCGACTTGCCGGCCATAGCCGCCGGACTGGGAAGAGCCGTGGGAGAGGTGACCACCGAATGGGGAGAGCTCAAGCAGGCACTCCGCTGAGGTGAAGAACCCACTGGGAGCACAGATGAAAGCGACGAAGGGGACAACGAGGCTCCACAGTCGCAACCCTTTCGACCCCTTAAGGGGGAGCACTGTTTTCAAGTAGCAACCTGGAACGTCGGCGGACTTGGCGTGGAAGCCACGCTAGACCTTCTGCGGGCATTCGGGGGAGCAAAGCACTTATGCATGTTGCAGGCAGTTTTGTTTCAGGAGATCATCACCACCCCAGGCCTCTCTTTTAAGACAGGCCACGGTTGGAAGCTCATCCACCGCAAGATGGAGGGAGAGTTCAGAGGAGAGGCAGTCGCATACAAACTCAACATAGCCACACACAGTCAGTCCCGCCTCACAAAGGGAGGCGTCAGCACCATACTACGGCTACACTCCGGCGAGCGGTGGGGAGCTTTCAGCGGACACATCCCCCACCACAGCACCATAGCAGAAACAGAAGCCATACTGCACGACTGGGGGACCACACCAGCCATCACCACCACTAAGGCCATACTGGGCCTTGATGCCAACGAGCAATTCCACCAGCACAGCGAGGAGAGCCACCCACACACCAGAACCGGGAGGGGAGAAGCTTTCCTCATCTGGGGGAGCACCAACGGCTTCCGACTACCGCCCCAAGCTATGCACGTCCCCAGCCATTTCCCCTACAACACCGCGCTGGAAGCCAGAAGGCTGGACTACATCCTGCTCAAACAAGGACACAGCCTACAAATCGGCCCGGTACAAGCACGAGACATGGCCAGATCGGATCACGAGCCCATCCTGGCACAGATCAAGGCCAAGGTGATGAGCAAACCAAGACCACACAGACCCGGGGGGGTACGGCACCTACACCCACCACAAGACACGACCATTGCAGACTACCTTCAAGCCCAAGCCAGCCAACCACCAGCCGACAGGCACCACCAAATAGCAGAAATTTGCAAAAGCATCACCAAACCAGGACGAGGAGACAAGCTGCTCTTCCAGGAAAGCCAGACGCTCAAAGCAATGCGCCGCCAGGCACACGCCACGCCACCGGGGGCAGAACGCAGGGCAGCTTGGAAAGCCATCCAACACCAACTCAAGACGGAGCGCAAACAGCACAACAAAGAGCTCGTGGCACGAGCCAGCTCCAAAGACTGGCCAGCGTACAGGCAGCACAAGCAACACAACAACAAGAAGGGGGACTGGATCGCCCTCCTCACAGACGCACACGACTGGCAGCAGGCCCTCCTACGCCACTTTGAGGGGATCTTCAAAAAAGCAGACGGAGAAGCCAAATCCCTGGCCTTCGAGGACATGAACCTCAGGCTGTCCTACCACTGCAAAGCCACACCCTGGACCCCCTTTACTATGACCGAACTCCTGATAGTCAGCAGCAGATGGGGGAAACACAAAAGCACCGGCGTCGACGGGATCGCGCATGAAGCCTTCCAGCTCCTCATCCACCACTCCATTTGGGGGGAGCGCGTGCTGGCCATGCTGAACGAGGCACTCTACACTGGCAAACTGCCGGCCCTGGTCGAACGGGGACTTACAGTCCTGCTCCGGAGAGACCAGACCCATCACCCTGAGCAGCACCGTGCTCAAAACCCTTGCACAATTACTGCTCCACCGGGGGGGGGGTTGCCTGCACCACCTCTACACCTACCAATGGGCAGCACCACGCAAGCAAGGAGTTGAACTCATCCTTGCGCTCAGGAAAGTGGCTCGGATGGGGGCGGACTGGGGAGGCGACTTCTGGATTATCAAGCTAGACCTGCAAAAAGCTTTCGATTCCGTGGCACAAGACAGTTTGGGGGGAATCGTCACCGACGAAGTGGGACCCACATTCCCCTGGGAAGCCAGGCTCTGGCTTGCCCTACTTGACGCTCGGCGAATCCATGTGTCCACAGATAAAGGGGAAGTCACGGTTGACCAAACCAACGGGGTGCGCCAAGGATCCCCCGACTCCCCCGTGCTCTTCGCAGCAAGAGTAGCACAGATCCCACCAGCACCCAGGCCATGAACAGAGAGGGGGAACTACCTTTCCTCCCACCCCCACCACACCATGGGGGATCCTTTATGGATGACACCTACCTCTGGGGGGAAAACCCACACCACCTCCAAAGCACCCTCACCTTACTGGAACAAGTGCTCCAGAGACACGGGCTCAGCATCAACTTTCACAGTGGGGGGACAGACAGTGCAACCCGAGACTGGAGACACGCCCCTCCGTGTACTAGGCTCCCCGGTCAGCTTTCGAGGAAGCACCCCCCAACTCATCGCCGAAATGAGCAGCAGAGCCCGGGAGAGGGAGAGGGAGAGGGAGAGGGAGAGGGAGAGGGAGAGAAAAAGAGAGCGCCTTCTTGGCTCAAGGCAGCGAGTGACCTTGTCAGTCACCTCAGCCCGGGGCTAATCCTCTTCATCTCAACCTTTCTCCCTGGGAGTGGCAGGTCTAAACACGGGGCGTCTCTCCCTTGTCTGGCCTGCTCCGCCCTTACAGCCACGAGCGGGGAGTACTTCATTGGCTAGTCCGCGTACTTCCAGCTGCACGCTGAGGACCGCCAGGCCGCCGACTTGCGGTTCTAGGGGGACCAAGCCGCCAACCTCGTGACAGCAATCGGCGACCCTACTGAGTCCCGGTTTGGCGAGTTTCTGCCGTTCCACTCCGGTCCACTCCTAACGGTGAACCTTTCCAACGAGTACCTGTGCATGACACTGCAGCGCTCACGGGCAGATCAACATCTTCCTGGAACTATGGCGCAGACGGGGGACACCCAGCAATCGCACAGAGCTCAGGGCATTGAATGTCTTAGATGTGCTCGAGGCCCCTCCTATCATGGCCCCCACAAACGAGACGACCCAAGCTGCATCCTGCATGGCTGTGCCAGCACCGACCCAGCAGAGGTGCGAACGTACCTTAGGCAGAAGACCTTCGGGAAGGCGGTGGCAGAGGCTTTGCAAAGGCAACCAGACCAACAAGACCGAGAACCACCTCCCCAACCTGCGGCGCAGAGCGGAAGCTCTGAAGCCTTGTGCAACAGGTGCCTTCGAGGCAGCAGCAGCCATTGCAAGCACGATGCGACCGCTTCGAATTGTATCCTTTTTAGGAAACAAGGCCTCTGCCCGGCACAAGTGAAGGCACTGCTGTGGCAACGCGAGGTGCAGCTTGCTTCCCAGGAGGCTAGAGGACAACAGCCGGGGGATCACCCTCGTTAGCTCCTCAGCAGTGCAGGGAGAAAGTAGCTCCACCTCGTCTAGTTCCAAGACTGTGGTTCCCCCGGCAAAGAAAGCCAAGAAACCATTGCCAACAAGCCCGGCTAAGCCATTGTGGAGATT